GAGGGGGAGGAGTGGGGTAGGCTGGGGCTGAGATCACCTGGCCTGTGATCTGAAGGACTATATGCAGCTGGCAAACCACGCCCCATCCCCATGCCCAGACAGAGGCCCTGGAAAGCTGGGCTAGGGACACACTCCCTCAGAAGCCCACCTGACTCCCAAACCTGTCCAGGGCCCCCTGACTCTGGCACTAGCCAGTGATTAGCAGTCCCAAGTCTGCTGCACTGGAGATTCTCTTGGCTGACCAGAGATTCTAGACCCCACAGCAAACTTAGCACTGAGGTAAGACAGAAAAGGTCTCTTTTCCTCTCCACAGCCACCCATCCCAGGCAGGAAGGTCCTCTTCAAAGCCCAAAGTCCCAGGGAGCTCAGGCTCCCAAGCTGGAGGCAGGCAACACCATTAATGAGCCATCAGGCCCTTAGAGCTCCACCTCAACAGGGGCCTGGGGATCTTAAGGCAGCTCCCACAGAGCTATTAGTCACTGGCTTTAAATAGCAGGTTAATCTCCTCTGACCTGGAAGGGTACAGACACAGCCTCATGTGGAGGCTTCAGGAATGGCCAAGGCCTAGGCACCCGGTCCCAACAAGGGCCGCTTTTCCTACCCTCCCAACGTCAGCATCTGGGTGCAAACCAAGGATCCAGCCAGGAAAAGGGCAAAGCGGAAGTAAGGTGGTTTGCAGCTGCCAGGCCTTAAAAAAAGAACTGAGGCAGGTTACCAGCATCTGGGTGCAAACCAAGGATCCAGCCAGGAAAAGGGCAAAGCGGAAGGAAGGTGGTTTGCAGCTGCCAGGCCTTAAAAAAAGAACTGAGGCAGGTTACTTGCATGAGACAGTCACAGATTTCCCTTTCCAGGAGAAGCCAGGTCGCCTCCACAAAATTAGCTTTAGGATTTCAGGGTCCTGCTCTGGGTAGTGACCCCTGGGACATTTAGCCAGAGTGAAGGTTTGGGGGTGGCAGATTTGAGGAGTGTAAGGAAAGGGGCAGTGGTGACCTAGTCATCTTTCCCGGTTGGTAAATGGGCCACGAGCTCACTATGTGTGTGAGCTCGGGACACTCAATGTTCTCTTTCAGCTCCATCACTGAGGTCAGATCCCGAGCCAGACTGACAGGGCTGGGCCCATCCGCGGCCTTCCCTGTCTTGGACAATCCCATTTCTAAAAGAAAACGACGGAGTTGCCCCAGAGCTCACTCACCATCAGCACCCCTTTCGCAGGGGCCCCGCAGAGAGGAAGATGAGCCCCCAATGAGCAGCCTGCAAGAGGCCCAGATGTCCACGGGGGCCTCAGGGCGGGGGAGGACTACCAGGGAAGACACCACAGCTGGCCAAGGCCAAAGAGGGGAGAAAGCCTAAAGAGTTCCCACCAGGAGGCAGCGCTTTTCCAAGCTCCTCCCAGGCCCCACCTAGAGCCCAGTCCTTCGCACCGGCTCCCCAGCTCCTCCTTTCCTTATCTGACTAGATACCCACAAGTGGGGTGCAAGAGTTCAATGGATTCTCTGGGCAGGCCGATTTATTTGGGAGGAAGTTTCGGGGAAAGTTAGCTGAAGAAGTATCCACCCTAGAATCTTCCAGATGGAAAGACTGGAGACCCAGACACAGTTCAGGGGCCTCATTTTACAGAGGGGAAAAAAAGAGGCCCGACGCAGCGGATTCCTTTGTTATGTGTAAGTCACATCCCTGGGGGAGGCAGGGCTGTCACCCGTAGTCCCGCGTACCCGCCCCGCGCGCAAGCCTCTATCAGAGCCCCAAACCCCAGGGCAGAGCGCGCAGAGGCTGAGCGCGCACCCCTAGGCACCCGGGTGCAGCCGGGAAAGCCGCCCAAACCCGCGCTTCGCCCAAGTTTGTCAACAGTGGAGGTGGAGGGAGGGCGCTGGACAAACCCGGAGGGCGCGCAGAGAAGTGAGGCCGAGAGGGCGGCGCGACGGACTCACCGGACGCGGCGAAGAGGCCGGAGGCGCAGAGCAGCGCGCCGCACAGCGCGGCTAGCGCGCGGGGAACCTGCATGCTGCGGGACAAGGGCGCCGCTCCACACGCTGCGAAGCCGGGACCCGCGGGTTCTCTCTTTGCTGGGACCGGAATAAATCAGGCAGCGCCGCTCCGCCCACCGGCCCACGTGCTCCGCCCAGGCCAGCCCCAGGCGGACTTGGGGAGGAGCTCCAGGATCACTTAAGGAAGAAGGTGGGAAGAACCGTCCAGGGCCTCCGCCTTCCGCCCTGCCCCGCCCGGCATCCCGTCGCCAGTTCCCAGACACAGGCCAGGTCCCGCTTCCTGAGTGGACTTGACGGGGAAAAAATTACTCAGAAGTTTAAAAGGATAGTTCAGTGGTGAAAGCGCTTGCCTAGCAGGCGGGAGATCTTGGATTCGATTCCCCCAGCGCCACAGAGGTAAATCAATAAAATAAAAGAATCCGTAATCCCAGCATTTGGGAAAGCTGGATCAGGAGGATTACCCACGAATTCGAGGCAAGCTTGGGTTCCATAGTGAGTTCCAGGCTAGCCAGGGCTACAGAGTGGAACGCCATCTCCAAAAATAATGTTTTAAAAAAGGATGTTTAGACTTAAGATGCTAAAGCTTATTTATAATCAGAGAACAGCAAATTCAGACTACAATGAGTACCGTGTTTCCTTTATCAGATTGGCAAGCGTCAAATTGTTAACATAGGAAGCTGTACAGCAACAGGCTTAGGCCTGCATCCTTGGAGAGAGTATAAATTAGCTCAGCTTCTCTATTTGGTAATACCTTTCAAAATGACAAATGCCAACACCATAAGACCTAGCAGTTGTGCTCAGAGGCACTCATTCCAGTAGAAACATATGTGTGCAAAATGATGTCTGCACTGTCAACCCTCAGACACCATGGATTGAAATCTTGGGGGAAAAAAAAAAAGGAATCAGCAAACTTCTATACAAGTTCCAAATAGAAAATATTTTAGGATTTTGGCCCACGGTGGTCATTCAAGTCCGTAATACCAGCACTCTGAAGGCTGAGACAAGAGGACTGTAGAAAGTTCAAGGCTATCTTGGACTACATAATGAGTTCTAGACCAGACTGAGCTACAGAGTAAGACCCCATCTCAAAAAAAAAAAAAAAATACCAGCCTGAGGGGCTGGAGAAATGGCTCAGGGGTTAAGAGGACCTGGGTTCTGTTTCCCAGCCCCGACATGTCATCTGACAGCTGTCCCTAACTCCAGGTCCAAGGGATCTGATGCCCTCATCTGACCTCCACAAGTATTGCACAACACGGGTGCACTTACATACATGCAGGCAATACATTCATACACATAAAATAAAAATAATAAAATATTTTTTAAAAATATCGGGCTGAGGGCCGGGTGTGGTGGCACATGCCTTTAATCCCAGCACCTGGGAGGCAGAGGCAAGAGGATCTCTGTGAGTTCAAGGCCAGACTGGTCTACATAGTGAGTTCCAGGACAGCTGGGGCTACAGGGTGACCCTGTCTCAAAAAGACCAAAAACAAAGGCTAAGAAGATGGCTCAGTTTAATCTCCTGAACCCCAGAAAGGTGGAAGGAGATAACAAACTCCACCAAGTTGTCCTCTGACCGCCACACATGCACGCTCGCGTGCACACACACACACACGCGTGCGTGCGTGCCAATACTATAAATAAAATTAATAATAACTAAACATGTCACTGTCTGGACTGTAATCGCAGTACTTGGAAGTGGAGAAAAGATGACCAGGAGTTCAAGGTCATCCTGAGCTAGATAAGGAGTTGGAGGTCCAGCTTTGGCTGCAGTGATGCTGCCTCAAAACAATAATAACTAAATAATAATAACTTTTAGGATTTATGGCCTATAAGGTTTCCATGGCAATGATTTATCCCATCTTTGCCACTGGAAAGCAGCCTTGATTGCATGGAAACGAGCACTCTGGGACTAGCAAGGAAATGGAAATCAGAGCTTGAGGGAGAGGGGCTTCCACTACTGACTTGTCACTGATTCTTTTTTTCAGTCATGTGAAAGTACTACCTGTTTACAAATAAATAGTTTTAATAGTGCTGCAGTCAGACTAGCAAAATGGAAAAAGAGCAGCCTTATAGCTTTATTGCTCCCCTACTGGCTGTTCTGACATCTAGGGTGAGACATGCCTCAGTTAGGAGACCCTTCTTAAAACCGTCTGAAAGAAGTCAAGTATGGTGGTGCACACCTATCACTCCAGCATTTAGGAGGTGGCTGGGAGGTGGAGGCAGGAGGATCAGGAGTTTAAAGTCATCCTCAGCTCCATAAGGAGTTTGAGGCCAGCATAGGCTACATGAGACTATCTCAAAAAACAAAACAAAACCAAAACAAAACAAAAAAAAGCAAAAATAAATAAAAAAAAAACACTGCTCTGAAGGGACAAACCACTTGTGATCAATTCACCAAAGGAAAAGCATTTAAAATATTCAACAACACTCTAGGACAAAGAACTCAGCACACACTAGGAGTAAAAGGGCAACTTCCTCAACCTGGTCCAAGATGCCTATGAATAAACACAACCAATACCATCATTAATGGGGGAAGAATGAACATTTCCTCATAGACGAGGAACAAAACAAGGATTTCTGCTCAATCACATCTATTCAAGTGGCGCAGGAACCAAAGCAATTAGGTCAGAACCAGAAAATACATTCAGATAGGAGGGGAGGAAGTGAAATTTTCCCTACCTCTATTCACAGATCACATAATCTTGTATCTAGAAAATTGTAGACTCCACACACAAAAAGCAACTGAGTGTTCACAGATGTGTTAAACAAGGCTGCAGGATACAAGATCCATGTACACCAATCACTAGTATTTCTTTAATTTAAATTTCAATGTATTTACCGTGGGGGAAAGGGGCACCCTCGTTGGCACAACACATTTGTGGAGATCAGAGGACTACTTTTGGAATTTAGTTCTATCAACACAAAAGCATAACTCTCACCTCAAAGGGGATAAGAGATAGTTTATTCTGGAGCCAAATATGAGTGACCATGGGCCCGGGAACACAGATTCAGGTTACCACAAATTCCATGTTCCAACATGGTAACAGTTTCATTAAGTTTTTCTAGTAACAGAACAAAGAAAAGTCATACATCAAGACACTTTTCAAATACATTGGTGGAAACACTATGTAGGCAGATTCAACAAAAGAGAAATCTCAGCTATAGGCCTCAGATGCTATCTGATGACATTCTTAGCCTTTTGATTAGTAGATACTGTTTCTTTTGTTAATCACAAGAATGTTATGTCAGCAACAGAGGTGGACAAGGAGTGGCTAGATAGGAGGCTAAAGATGTCCCCAGATAATTTGTGAATAGGCTCTGAATCTGCAACATTCCAAACTGTCCACAATCATTGAAGCATTAATCAGTGGGTCAACCTTGCAGGAAGTTCAGCTCAAGATGCAGGGTTTTTCTGGGAACTTTCATTCACAGCTCTCTTTCCACTATGTGGGTTCTTGGGATCGAGCTCAAATCATCAAGCTTGGCCGCAAATGCCTTCACCCACCAAGCAGGCCTGACCACTATTTATTTATTTATTTATTTATTTATTTATTTATTTATTTATTATTTTGCAGTGCTGGGGATGAAACCCAGGGCCTTGCACATGCTAGGCAACCATTCTACCACTGAGCTGAACTTATCTCTAGCCTTCCCTGCCCCTCCCCCGGTGCTGGACTGTCTTTTTTCTTTTCTTTTTTGAGATGGGGGGCAAAGTATTATAGTAGAAATTTTATTGTCAAAACAAGAGGTTATAATAATGCTTGCCTAGCATACCCGAAGCCCTGGGTTCCATTCCCAGCACCCAGTAAACTGGTCATGGTATCTACACCTGTAATCCTACTCAGGAGGTAAAGGTAGGAAGATCAGAAGTTAAAGGTCATCTTTGGCTACATAGCAAGTGCAAGCCTACCTGGGCTACATGAGACAAAAACGGGGAGAGAGAATAGTAGTAGCAGTAGCAGTAGTAATAATAATAATAATAATAAATAGAAGACACAAATGAATTCTTGTGATAATTTTGGACTCCAGGCCTCTCTATGAGGGAAAGAAGAAATACAGCTGATTTTTGTGTATTGATCTAGTATTGTGCAACCTTATTTAACTTATTTACTAGTTTTAACAGCTTTTAATAGTCACCTCCTCATGTAAACAAAATAATATTCTAAACAAAATTCAGCAGATATTTGAGACAGTGTTGAAGGTGAAAGCGAATGTATGCAGTGTGAGAGGGAACCAGGCAGTTCCTGTCCTGGGTAAAAGTCTGTGTCCAGAAAGGGATATGGCAAGTTTACACGAAAAATGCTTTCATATAGAAAGGGGTTTAATTCTCCCCCTCTCCTCTCCAGAAAAAGCTTCAGGCTCTGAACCAGACAAGGAAACAAAATAAGTGATACTAATTTCACATGAACCTCAAGACTATAATTTTAATGGCATTACCATCATCTTTTAAAAATCTTACTGTTGGGCTGGGAGTGTGGCTTGGTGTTAGAGTGCTTATCTAGCACGAATGAGGCCCTGAGTCTAATTCTTAGTTCCACACACAAAAAAGCTTCGTATCTTAACAGCCATATGTCTGTATCATATCAGTAGACTAGATTTTTCTCCCTTTGGAAGTTTCCAATCAAATTGGATCAGTCCCCTTTAAAGAGCAAGAAGGTATACAAAGACTAGTGTGTGTTCTGTGACATATGAGGGAGTGACCCTCTCACCACAGTGGCCAGTACAGAACTGGCCACAGGACAAAGGAATATATCAGCAAGACCATAAATTGAAGTGATTCCAGTTTCAGCTTAGAAAGTAGGTCCCTTCAAAGTTTGATTTTTGTTTTGTTTTGTTTTCTCTTCTTTTGTTTGAGATAGGCTCCTTATATAGCTGGCCTTAAAATCACTTTGTAGCCCAGGCTGGCCTATAACTTACAATCCACCTGCCTCAGCCTCTGGAGGGCCAGGATTATAGACCTGCAACATCAAGCCTGGCCCCCAGTCTGGACTTTAGGTGAAACTAGATCTCAAATAGATCTTAGGTCACCCTTTCTAACAAGGCTGGAATAAGGCGCCAGCACAGTCCAGCAAGACAGTCACCTACACTAGTCAGTTGGCACCTCTGCA